CGACCTGGCCAGAGCAACGCAACAGAAGCGCCGTCAAGTCCGGGGTGCCGCAGAAGGTGGTGGCGGTGCCAGGGCGCTGCAGGGTGCAGGCTGGTCCTGCCTCTCCCCCGGGCAAGAAAGGCGTGCGGGGGCGCGTTGTGCCGTGGCCCATGTACCACCAGAGGCCCACGGTGGTCCCCCGCCCACCTGCAGCAACACGGTAATGTACTCGGCGCGTCGCGGAGCAGGGTGAAAGCCCTCGCTAGCACACTGTCCCTCAAACGCTGCCATGCCACCCCGTAGCTTACCACCAGTAAGCCTGATTTTATCCCTTCCCCCCCTTTGAACCTAGTTTGAAGCTCTCCCAAGTTGTGAGCAAAAATACTTTTCCCCCACTGAGCAAGGCGACGCACCCAGGCCCCGGCAGTCCTGGTGTCGCCTCGACCACCCCGCGAGGCCACCCCTTGAGCGGTTTGGGTGGTAGCCTACCATGCGCTGGCTCAGCCTCCATGCAAAGCATGGCAACAGGCTCGCTTCACCCGTCGTTTCTCCAAGCCTCTGCAAGAGCAGCCGCTGGTGAGGTGTGAACGGAGCCACGCACGGCCACCTGGCGTGGACAGCAAGCCTACCTGGACCTGCTGCTCTTTCGGATGTCTTTGGACAGCAGTCGTCTGTACCTTTACGCAAAGCATTACTGTCCAGAAAATTTACCCATCAGACCATTTCATATACACACTGTGCAGCACCCGTAAAGAGCCGGAGTTTGCCCTTTCTGCTCAGTTCCTTCCAGCCAACGATCCCTGATGCTATAAGGCCAGTGAAAGACAGGGACAGGAGAGTTTTACCTCGCCAGCAGGCCCCCAAAAGCCTCTCGGCATTGCACACAAAGGCCGTCCTCGTGCCTGCGGAGTGCAGAAAGCCGCAGGGCGCTCAGCGAGCGTAAAGCAGCGCACCAACTCGGGGAAAGCGTGAGTGGACGGCGCCGCGGGCCGTGAGGATGAGGGGCGTTCGGGGGAAGGTTGGGGCGGCGGGTGAGTAAAGCAGCTTGTTGGCAGACCTGGAAAGGCAGCGAGGTAGGTATGGCCAGGGCTTCACCGGTACGGCTCTGCTGGCAGTGAAAGGGAGCGTGTGCACACGGGCACACGTAAACCCGCGTGTGCACAGCTGCACGGGCTCACAGAGCCTCTGGGGACGCTGCGGGGGTTAACTTGTGCCCCTCTGCAGCGATGCCTTCGAGGTTCCAGCTTTGAGCTATCTGCAGGAACGGCCAAGACCAGAGCTGCAAAAAGGCCGCGTCTCATTTTCCCGGGAGCAGACAGTTTGTCCGGCGAAGGATGCTGGCATTGTGGCAGAGACTGAAGAAACTCCACTGCCAGAATCTCTGTGGCGGTTTGCAGGTGATACAAAACTCATTAATGATCTAGATGATGGGGCAGAGTGTACACTGCACGTTTGCTGATGACACCAAATTGGAAGGAGTGGCTGATACGGCAGAGGGCTGTGCTGCCATCCAGAGGGACCTGGACAGGCTGGAGAATTGGGCCGACAGGAACTTCATGAGGTTCAACCAGGGGAAGTGCAAAGTCCTGCACCCAGGAACAACCCCCTGCAAGAATATATGCTGGGGGCCACCCAGCTGGAAAGCAGCTTGGCAGAAAAAAAACTGGGGGTCCTGGTGGACACCAAGTTGAAGATGAGACAGCAATGTGCCCTTGCTGCAAAGAAGGCAAATGGCATCCTGGGCTGCATCGGGAGGAGCATTGCCAGCAGGTTGAGGAAGGTGATCCTGCCCCTCTACTCAGCACTGGTGAGGCCGCAGCTGGAGTGCTGGGTCCAGTGCTGGGCTCCCCAGTATACGAGAGAGTCCAGTGAAGGGCCACGAAGATGATGAAGGGACTGAAGCATTGCTCCTATGAGGAAAGGCTGAGAGAGCTGGGACTGCTCAGCCTGGAGAAGAGGAGGCTCAAGGTGTTCACATCTATTTGTATAAATACCTGAAGGGATGGTGGACACCAAGTTGAAGATGAGACAGCAATGTGCCCTTGCTGCAAAGAAGGCAAATGGCATCCTGGGCTGCATCGGGAGGAGCATTGCCAGCAGGTTGAGGAAGGTGATCCTGCCCCTCTACTCAGCACTGGTGAGGCCGCAGCTGGAGTGCTGGGTCCAGTGCTGGGCTCCCCAGTATACGAGAGAGTCCAGTGAAGGGCCACGAAGATGATGAAGGGACTGAAGCATTGCTCCTATGAGGAAAGGCTGAGAGAGCTGGGACTGCTCAGCCTGGAGAAGAGGAGGCTCAAGGTGTTCACATCTATTTGTATAAATATGTGAAGGGAAGGGGTGAAGTAGACAGAGCCGGACTCTTCTCAGAAGCAACCAGTGAAAGCACAAGAGGCAATAAGCACCCCAAAAAAAAAAAAGGAATATAAGAAGTTCCATTTAAAAATCACTGTGGGGATGGCCAAGCTCTGGCACAGGTTGCCCAGAGAGGCTGTGGAGTCTCTGCGGAGATTTCCAAAACCCAGCTGGACGCGGACCCGGGCAGTCAGCTCTGGCTGACCCTGCCCGAGCAGGGGCTGGACTGGGTGATCTCCAGAGCTCCCCGCCAACCGCAGCCGTTCTGGGATTCTGTGCTCGCGCTTCAGCAGCGAGCGAGCAGAATGGGCAATAATACGATGGCTGTCTCTCGGAGAAGGCAGCACTGTCTGTAAACCACAAGGCAGCCTGTAAATGTGTGTGTCCACGTCTGCGTGTGCACGTTGTACACAGGCCTTCAACAACACAAAAAGAGGCCCTTCGTGGGGCACGGGTGGGTGAGAGAAGACGGTCACTATAAAAAGCATCTAGTACAGGAACAAGTGCTTTAGTGGAAAGGGCATGCCCTGCTTTTTTAAGACAATATAAATACAAAGGGAGAAGGTACTTTAGAGCGTGACATGATAGACGTTGGCGCCGTAAAATACTGCAGTCAGTGGTGCTTGTCTGCAGACGCACAGTGCAGGTGCATGTGCAGACATTTAAACCTCCAGGCAAGGAAGGTCCGGACCCTTCAGCCGCTACAAGGGGACGACGGCAGCGCCGCAGTCCGGCGCTATGGGCATGCAGTCTCGGACGCGGGCAGTGCCGCAGGCAGCAAGAGCAGGTAGGGCTGCGGCAAGGGAAAAGTGGAGTGAGGCAGGTGCTTCAGCAGGCAGGCTTTGGCTCAGCGTTACCTTTCACAGATTTACACGTGTGCAATACAGTGGTTTGCTCTCAGACAAGCAAACTGCGCTGCTCGGGTGGCGGTTACTGTCTCACCAAGGGAGGCACCCTCTCTCTGGTGCCCAGGCTGGAGAGCTGGATAAGCTGTGCACGCTGTATGACAGGGGACTTTGCGGTCTGGTGTGGGTGGGAAGTAGCTTCCAGGCGAAATCCAGTGCAAAAGGGGTGACCAGCTATTGTAAGATAGGCTGAGCCAAAAACCTGGGGAGATGAGACGTGCTGTGATCTGGAGGACAGGGAAGAAACAGAGCAGAAAGCCTCGCCAAGAAGCCTGCCGGTCCACGCAGCAGGATGAGATCTGGCTTCTCTGGGTAGGTCACAAGTTCAGGATCGCCGTAATAATCCGTCACCAGCGGTGCCATGAGGGTCCGCTTGTGCGCTCCTGTTGCACTCGCCAGCTGCACAAAACCTCAAGCAGTTGTGCAAGCTGCGGTGCACGAAGACGTGTCACCAGCGGCCGTACGCTGCCCTCACCCCGCTCATTACAGTAAGCAATTTGGCAGCAATTGGCCAAACAAATCTGCCCACTTGCCTTTAGGATAAATTATTTCCCCAGAATAACATAAATCACCAGGGCCCCTATTTTAAACTGTTCTGGATCATTTCGCCATTTCAAAGACAGCTGCAAAACGTCAGTGACGCAGGAACAGAGTTCAAGAAAAGAATCTTAGTTCTCGTCCCACACGTATGCTTTCTTCTTGAAAGCCTAGGCAGACGCCATTGTTCTTGGTTGAATTTTCTGCGACATTGTTGATGGGCAAAACGCATCTTTCCCAGTGGAGAAGTTTGTCACAGGCCTCTGCAGTGGCTCTGACTCCTCTTTTTCAGAGAATCATAGAATACCAGGTTGGAAGAGACCTCGAGGATCATCTGGGCCAACCGTTCTTGGCAAAAGCACAGTCTACCCAAGATGGCCCAGCACCCTGTCCAGCCAAATCTTGAAAGCATCCAATGGTGGGGAATCCACCGCTTCCCTGGGGAGATGATTCCAACAGCTGATTGTTCTCATTGTGAAAAATTTTCCTCTTGTGTCCAATCGGAATCTCCCTGGGAGCAACGGGTACCCATTACCCCTCATCTTTTCCGTGTGACTCCTTGTAAAAAGGGAGTCTCCATCTGCTTTGTAGCTCCCCTTCAAGCACTGGGACATGGGGATGAGAGCACCTCGAAGCCTCCTTCTCTCAAGGCTGAACAAGCCCAGCTCTCAGCCTGTCCCCACACGGCAGGCTGCCCCGAGCCTGGATCATCCTGGTGGCCCTTCTCTGGACCCCCCCAGCCTGCCCACAGCTTCTCTGTACAGCGGGGACCCGAACTGTGCACAGGATTCCAGGTGTGGCCTGACAAGCGCCGAGTAGAGAGGGGTCATGACTTCTTTCTCTCTGCTGGCGATGCCCTTCTTGATGCAGCCCGGCCTCCTGTTGGCCTCTCGGCCGCAGCAGCACCCTGCTCGCTCACGTTGAGCCTCCTGCCCACCAGGACCCCCAGGTCCCTCTCCACGGAGCTGCTCCCCAGCCAGCTCTTCCAGCCTGTCCAGATCTTCCTGCAGGGTGGCTCTCCCTTCCAGAGTGTCCGCTTCCCCACTCAGTTTGGTGTCATCAGCAAATTTCATCAGGGTACACTTGACCCCGTCATCCAGATCACTGATAAAGATATTTTGTTATATATGGAAGCAATTAGGAACCCTCTTCAGCCTCCACTGGAAGAACACCTCGTTATCCATACGATGCCTGGTCCATAAAACCGGTAAGCTACGCTCTTTGTTAAGAGTCCTGGTCTATACACTTCTGTCCCGGTAGAGAAACATCTCCAGTAACACAACAACCAATACCTGGGGCTCTGAAAGGTTTTACTCTCAGGCAAAAGTGGCATGAGACGTGTAGCACTGGGCAGCAACAAGCAGGGACAAGAGGACCTGTGCCGACAGCTTTGCAGATCCCTGACTGCAGCATAACAGGGAGAGCTAATTCCGCACTGGGGGCACGCTAGGAACCGGATCCAGCTCCGCTGAGATCCTGGTAGCTGTGTCTTGGCAGGGGGCTCAGAGCTGCCCAGCACGGCGTTGGGCCGCGGGCAGCGTCGGTGACACTGCTGTGCCGCAGGTGGGGACAGCACGGGAGGCGTAGCTCAGCTTCGGCGGGAACCGCTGCGGTCTGGGGAGGATCAGACTGCAGGAGCTGGGGCGGCAGAAGAGAAAAGCAACCAGGAGAAAGGTAACGTCGAACAGCAGGACGGACAGCGAATTCCTGGCACCTGAAGCTGCTCCATGCGAGCCCGGAGCCCTTAAAGCCGACAGATACCCTGAGGGTCTTTGCCTCTGTCGCTGCCAGACGCTGAGCTGCCAGGTTGCAGCAAGGATCCTCGCATCCGTCTCCCAGTGCATGGCTTCACTCGCCTGCTGACGCCCACAGACAGGCCTGCCGAGACCTTCTGTCTGAAATCTGATTAGGAGCAATAACGTGGATTAAAATAAGCGCGTGTGCGTGAGGAAAATGATGTAATTGCTATTAAAGACAGCAGCGTTTCTTTTACAGCCGGCAGCTTGGCACCGCGCTTCTGTCAGTGGTGTCGGGGGACCGCGCTCTCCAAGGGAGAGACCTGGGCGTTGGCTGCAAACGTCGGCTTGCAGCACGGAGGAGGAAAGCTGCCTCCTTATGGGAGGGCTCGGTTTGGGAGGTGGATGCCGGAGCCACTAGGTAGCCCAGAGTCAATCATCACTGGAGTGCCTGGAACATTATAATCCATAAATTTTAGCACAAAAGGTGCTGCAGATAAATCTTTGAGCAGGACTGCCGTTCAGCCAGCACCTGCGCCCCGCAGCAGCGAGCGGAGGGCAGTCACAGCCAGTGGCGGGGTAACCGATACTGCAAAAACATTCATCTCCCACAGCTGAGGAAAGCCCGTGTTAAACTTAATCGGGAGGAAATTTTTCAGACAGAAGAAACTTGTGAGGTCTTTTTCAGTTTCTTCGACTGTGACGCTGTCGGTTCTTGGCAAGCAAGGAAGGATAAGAAATTTAGAAGGATGTTAAGCATTTGCTAGAACATAACAATTTGAAATCAACAGACCTCAATGACTTGCACTGCGCAACACAGTTTTTGTTAAAGCCATGTTCTGAGACAGACTGAAAGCAACTGCTGCCCCACTCAGCAACTGCTCTTGGTCAGACCAGGGTCCAGTACAGGAACGGGGCGAGCGTCCTTCCCACCGAGGACGCGCAGCCTGCTGCTTGCTCCAGCCCTTTGACCACCCCTGCCGCCGCTCTCTGGACCTTTTCCAGTTTGAGAAGGCGACTGTACAGATGTTCTGGTTTGTGCTCCGCTATTGCTTTTGCTCCTTTTCCTAGCACTTGATTTGCTTTTTGACTACCCCTGAGCACTGATCTGCCGTTTGCATAGAAATAGCTGTCGTTCCCTGGAGGTCTAACTCGCACGGCAGTGCTCAGCTCAGGACTCATCGTTTCACGTGCAAAACATGAAATGGCTGTCCCTTTCCATTTATTTAAGCTGAGTTGATCCTGCCCCTGTATCGCCCACTACTGCAATGTCCTGCTGCAGCTCCTCAGAGCCCCATTAGCTGCGTTAGTAAATGCAGCGCTACGAGCAGACTTCCTCACCTCTCTGCCACCGTGCCAGGTCATTCACGCAGAGGCTGAGCAGCAGCCGCCCCCGCGGGTGGTCTCGGTGGGACTCCCCTGGCGACCTCTTTCCACAGGGAAGAACCACCCTTCTCCCCTGCTCCTCTTCTTTACCTGGTCTCTTCCCAGCAAAGGGCCTGTCCTCTTCTCCACAGTACGTGCGGCTCCTGGGCAGCCTTCGCCGAGGGACCTTGCCCAGGTCAAGCAGACGGGTGCCGGGCACCCCGTGCATTCGCCGCGCGGCTGCTTCAGGGACCTCCCCCGGCTCCCTGCTGGCAGCCAGACCGAGCCTCGCTGACAGCGCTGCTCACCGCCGGCCGCTGCCACAGCACAGCTGGATTTGCCATCAAGGGTGGCCTTGCCAGGCGTCTCGTACCAAAACAGGCGAGCCTGGGGAGTCTGTGCAAGTCCCCCTGGGCATGTGGTGGCCAGCTTTGACCTTGGTTGCCAGACCTCCTGCCTGCCGGGACCGGCCACACCAGTCTGACCCAGGCGTTTCTGCAGCAGAGAGCAGCTGCTGCAGTCACCCCTGCACAGACCGCGCACGCGGCGGCAGCTTTTCAACATCTGAGCATCGGTGCACGCATGGGGCAGCCTGCAACCGGCATCGCCTGCCTGCTCTGGCTGCGTGCTGGGGAGGCTGTCCCTGAGCACCGGGAGGGCGCACGCGTCAGCTGCGTTTTGGACCAGGTTCGTATTCCTGCCCTGTCCGCTGCCAGGGCCTTCTGCTCCAGGCTGGGGTCTGTACCTGACAGCACTTGAAGATGTTTCTCAGGTGGCTCCGTATTGCTCATTGGGTCCTTGTCTTCGAGGAGGAGGCCTGGGCTGATGGAGGACTTAACTGGCAGGAGAAAGGAGACCGTCTCTACTCAGAGCCCTCTTCCTCAGGGCTTCCGAAAGCTTTAGGGAGAAGCAGAAAGGAGAATGTCATCTGCGCTCCCAATTTTTACCCTTCCCAGAGCCCTGTGCAGTAAAGTTGCTTTTCAAGGAAACACCACAGTCCAAATTGTGGCGTTTGGAAGAAAGCGTGATCGCAGGAGCCTGCCAGGACTCTGTGTTTGGGGCCATCATCCCTGCGGCCCGCAGCAGGCTGGGCTCTCCTCGCCCTCCCGTCAGGGCGCTGGGCTCCTTGTGCAGTCCCTGCCCTGCGTCCCCAGTCACGTCCCCCTGCCCGCTGTTTGCCCGCTGGGCAGCCAGCCAAGGGGCTGCTGGTCTGGGTTGAGGAGCCGAGGGCAGACACGAGAGCAATGGTGTGTGTGCGTGCGGCAGGGGCGGGTCGGGGGCTGCCGGGGTGGTCCCTGCCGGTGCCCTGTGCCTCTCGCCTGCTCCCAGGCACAGGCAGGAGATCAGAGCCATGTCGTGCAGGCAGCAAAGCTGGATTGCAGGAGCTCAACCAGGGCAAGACAGCACCGTTGCGTGCCATGGGGCTCCGGGGGACCGCGGCAGCCAGCACACAGTCCTGCCATCTCTCCAGCAGCTCTTGATGCCAGCGCCTTCCCCAGAGGGAAGGATCCAGGCAGGAGAGCGCAGCTGCACGATGGAGAGCATCTCCCAGGACTGTACTGAGTCTCTGCTCCCGGAGCTGTTAAGAGACGAGAGGCAGTCAGGAGGCAGCTGCCCCTTCCCATGCCCACGGCAGCCCCCATGAGACCACCCTCCCCGCCCCACGTGGAGACCTCGCAGCCAGCCAAGGAGGAAGACCGAGAGAGCGAGAAGGGAAGGGAACAGGACACACAGATGAGAAAAACGACGTCTTCCTGGGGAGCCGCCTGCAGGGTCTGCCAAGGCTGGGGGGGCGGCGGGGCCGCCGTGAGCCTTAGTGCAGCAGCCCCTGCATGGCTGGCCCCGTGCTCCCCCATGGAGGTCTCCAGGCCATGTCTCCTTGTCCTCCCCATCCCTCCCCAGCTCCGCACTCCGGCCGCTGCCGCGTGCCCCGAGCCTCCCACCCTCAGGCATGGGACCGGGGGCTGCCGGGGACAGAGCACAGGGAGCTGGGCAGCAGCGGGCGAGGGAGGGGGCATGGGGGGCAACGGGGGTGTTGAGGGGATGCGGACCAGGAGGCAAACAGAGCTGCCGTCCAGAGCAAAGCATCACCCTGGCTACCAGGGGACCGTGAAATCAAGGGAAAAATATGAAGGTGCCCAGGGATTTACACCTGATATGTCAGAAGAGGAAAAGTCTGTGGAGCAGCTCAGCACAGCCTGGCCTTGGATGGAGAGCTGTAGTCAGAGGTGCGGTCTGGGAGGCGAACTAAGGAAGGCTTGGCCGGGACAGCAGCCAGAACTCCCTTCCCTTCCCTGCCCTGCCCTGCCCTGCCCTGCC